TTTTTTCCCTGTTTCCTTTCTTTTCTTTTAGGGCGTTCCGGATACAGCCGGAAAACAATAATTAAGGTGGCGTACGGAGCACAACCGTGAAGGATAACAAGGTCAGGATAAAGAAGAAAGAAAAGAGAAAAGAGAAAGATAAAAATTATAACAAAAAGAGTGGTAAATAGTAAGAACCACAGGAAATTATCAAAGAAGAAACAAAACCAAATTCACCATCCAAACTTGGAGAGATAGATGTGTTGAGATGCGTTGAATGTGAATGTGAATATAGATAATGTTTGCCGTTCTCCTCTCAAAGATACATCATACAGTACTCTGTATCTTGGTAGGTAAATAGTAGTAGTAGGTCTGATGTCTCTCTCTCTCTCTTTTCCTTCCCAAGTGAGGCTTGAAGCCACCGCAAGCCATTGGAGGGAGAGCGTGTCACAAGACCCTAACCACAAACAGCTCCATACATCGGATACCCTAACTCTTCCTTTTCATTGTTCAAAAAATAATGTTTGATTACAATCATCCTTCTCTTTTCCTCTTCTTTCTGATTTGTTTCTCTTTTCTTTTTCTTTTTCTTCCCCTTTCATTATTCCCCTCTCTTATTATTTCCTCTTCTTGATTGAACTTCTGATTGGATTTTCCTTTCTTTTCATTCCAGCGAATGCACCCCTCTCCTGAAAGATACCCACTCGTCTCTCCCCTCATATCAGCACTACGAAAACGGAGAAAAGGGTCCGATCCACTCTAGAATCTTGAATGTATATTTTTCTTTTCATGCCCCGGCTGACCAATACATTAATAACCGCTGAAACTTCTCTGACATGAGGAATAGTCCTTTTACTATACATGCAAATGAAACCCCCCAATGCTGTCTCCATACTGTTGCATGATTGCCTAGTCAAACCATATGCATCCCTCGCTTTTTGTTTTCCCTTTTCGTAGAGTATACATAAATTAATGATAAGAAAAACGGATCAAAGAGAATCGCCATCATGAGAGAGAGAAAAAAAACAAGACAAGAAAGTTAAAAGCTATGGAGAAAACAGTAACATAAATAATGAAAAAATAAATAAATAAAAAGATAGGTTCAATCATACATAACGTTTCCAACGCCTTTCACAGTTGCAGATCATGCAAAGTTATCAGATCGATCAACCCAAATATCCTCCAGTTCTGCAAAGTTTTGGAAGTGCAGTGGCCGGTGTTGATCGTCATAAAACCTCAGGGGCGTGTCGATCTTCACGTACACTGGCCGTTTCTCGACACTGCCGAAGGAGCTGCCCATGAAACTATAGTTCCACACGTTATCCTCGGGAACCAGGAAATAACCGCGAATCTTGTCACTGAGTAACAGCTGGCACTTCTCCCCCATGCTGGTCGAGAAGCCCTGCGGTTGGTCAGACGTCGTGTCCTTGTTCTCGGCACCCCACTTGTATCCTTGCGGCGTGAGACCCCAAGCAGCCAGTGACACGGATCCCGGGGTGAATGAAACGGTCATCGTCACCGTTTTCTTATCCCAGCTGGAGTGCTCATTCATCAGTCGGGCGTGTTGAGTAACATCCATTGCCGTCATGTACGGCGGCTCGTTGCCCGAGATGGTGTGAATCACTCCCAGGGGCTCAAGGTTATTCAAGTAATCATGCTGGGGCAATTGGTGCGGCAGCTGGACTTCCCGTGTGTTTCCGACCTGCGGGATCATCACGATCGTGCGAACCTCCTTCACTTGATCGTTATCAGGCGGTGAGCTACCATAGAGATATCCGGCAACTTGCACCCGAAGATCAGCGATAGTAATGAATCGCTTGAGGATGTTCTTAGGCATAATGTAAGTATACCCCTCGTCACGAACCTCATCCGAAGAGATGTAGATGTTGTTCGCCCTGGTCCGTAAGTTCGATGTCGCAATGGCTCGGGTGCGCCATTCGGTCTTGGATGCGAACGACTGCTGCTCGTACTGTGATGTAGTGGTCACAATGATCTCTTCACCACGGACGTTCTGGGTCTTCGTTGTCACAGCTGTGAGCTGCTTCTGTTCTTCCTGCTGCTTCTCGATCTCGGCTGCCTGCTGTCGCTGCAACGAAGGTGCACTGATCTCCATACCCAAGATGATATCCCTGACTTCACTGCTTGTCAAGCTCTGAACGTTGACATTATTCTTCTTTCCATAGTCATTAAGAATCAAGTCACGCAACTGTACTTCGACCTTGATCCAATCCTCATCAGACAACGAGGGCCAGATGTGGTGCTCCTGGGTGATAACAGTCTTGTCGGGTCTCAAAATAATCTTGGCCTTGTCAATGTTGACGTGCAGAGCACGCAAGATAAGGATGAGTCGGGAGAAAGCAGTATAAGGTGAGATGGACTTCAGCCATTCATCGTAGAGGTTGAACAGAACCATCTGAGGTTCCGTCGCCCGAAGAATCATGTCGGCGAGCTTCTCTACCTTCATAGCAGCCTGGAATGGCAGTTGGAGCTCAGAAGCACGGATCGAAATGTTAGGGAAGTCAAGAAGGTGGACCTCAAGTGGGTCCAACAGACCCTTCCGAGTAACAATAAGCTGTTTCGGCTGTTCTTCAACGGGCAAGGATCGAATGAGAGCCGCCACTTCTTCCGCGGTCTTCCATTTGGCCAATTGACCCAGACGCTTCTGCCCCGCCCAAACGCTGGTGTGAATAATCTTCAAGAAGAGCTGTCCAGTTCTGGGGTTGAAGATGAAAATGGCACCGTTGATAGGCTTGGTTGTGAGATTGCCTTCGAAAGTCTTATGAATGGTGACACGGTAAACATTGGTATCATCAATGAATAGCTGGATCTGAGGACTGAAAAGCTCCGAGTAGTTCTGAGAGTTAAGGAACTCTTGGTTGCTCTCAGAAGCATACAGCTGCAGACCCTTCCTGATACGTTCCCTCAGCACATACAAGGCGGGGTTAGCCTTCATGACCTTAGCCATAGCTTGCTGAATCAGGGTCTTGAGACCGGGGAAGTATTGTCCATATGCCGAGTAGAGGTTGTACGCGAGGTCAATTCCGATCATCAAACCGGTAGCGGAAGGATAAATGCTCATGCTGTCGGTTGTGTAGTCCAGGTACTTCGCACGAACGTATCTCTCGATGTCGTGAGAATCGTAGTCACCGTATCTCAGCTGCACATCCAGCCAGAACTTATTCGTCGTAGTGGGCTCGTACACGTCCTTAGTGTCAAACAGCAGCGAGGGCCGGGTGACGTTCCACTTGTTCGTGGCGAAAAGCAAAATGTCCGCACATGAACTGTTCATCTTATACGACTTACGTGGATGGATAGTCTCCTTCTGGACTGCTTCAATACCTAGCTGCTCCAATTCTTGGTCGAAGACTTGACACAAGTCCATGACAACGGACTCGTGGATCTTCTGCCACAAGTGAGCTCGGAAGATCTGAATCAAAGAAATTTTGAGAGTAGGAATCTTTCCGTGCAAGAAGATACCAGTAAGATCCAGCTGGACCTGGAAACCGACATAGACGTTGGCACGATTGATAGTTGGGGACCACCACAGAGTGAAACGACGGTTAGGAATTTGGTTCAAACCGGATCTTTGAGCATTGGTGAGCTTCTTGAACTTCATAGATTCTTCAAATCCACTGTTGTGCAAAACAAGGTAGTCGTGTCGTAAGTAGAGCTGATCTTTATCAACTCGGAAACCGGCCCATTCGGTAGATTCGGTTTCAAGACTAATGTCCTTGATCTTGAAGCTATGTGCTTGGGGAATGAAGCGCTCGACGCCCTGCTTTCGCGCAAGTAGGCAAGGAACTTCTGCGACATTGCCAAAGATTTGAGCAACAAGCTGGGGATAGCGTTCCGTACGAGTAGGGTTCCACATCATGCGTCGCTCTGTCCAAACACTTAGACCCAAAGAACGGGCCAATGCAACAACGTCCCAAAAGAGCTTTGAATGCCATCTTTCGCTTTGGCTAAAGCCGAACATGTTTTCCGGGTAAACGTACCAACCATCACTATCTATAAGTCCAGCAAGAACAGCAAGACGAACGGACCGTGAGTTCTTCAAATAGACCGGTGGAATACGTTTGACATCGGCTCCAGGACCGGTTTTGTGGGTAATTAGGTCTAGGCTTTCAAGGGCTTTATGAAGGGAGTTAACACGGGAACCGCCTTCAGATTGATCGACCATTTGATCGAGGAGTTGATCCTGCTCATTGGCATCCAGCTCGCCATATGCTCGACAACCGGTTCGCAAACGATGATTGCGTCGACGGCTAGGGAACTGCGACTGCAGTTGGCTATCGGGCTGGCTATCGCCCTGAACATCCAGGTTCTCGATCGCCTCATCCTCACTATCGGTATCGAGTATATCGAGGTCTGGTACCGGCTCATGGAGGGGGCTGAGGAAGGCTTTTCCAGAACCCTCTACTTGTTCAATCAACCGCATGAGTTCAGAATCAGCGGTAAGTTCCGAGAAAACGCTTGAATCTATCTCAGGAACCTCAAGGAGCCCAAATTCGGGGGAATTATCGGGAACGGATTCAGAAACCTCATCAGGATTCGAATCGCCCAACCATTCGGCCATTGAATCAGGAACAACCGATACACCGGTGAATTCGGCTTGTGATTGGGAACCAGCTGCATCAAGCTCCCGGGAATCAAGTTCGGACAAAGACAAGCGCTTTGGGGACGGCGGAGGAGTGAGTTCGACGCTTGAAGGCAAGCTGCGCTTTGACTGGGTTTGCGACTCTAATAAGCGGGGGGACGAATCAACTGCTTCGGCAGCAAGTCGTTGCTTTCGAATCGTCTGGCGTGCTTGACGGCAAAGCGGACGTCGAGTAGTATCCATAGTAGCGGTTGGCAATCGAGTATCAGTTCCAGGATGAGGTTTTCCAACGGTCGCATAGTCTAGTTGACCATGCCATACAAGGTTCAGATCCAATTCGGCAGCATGATCGACAAGGAATTCGCGGATTTCAGACTCATGATCCGTATAGATAGTAGTCGACTTGCGGTTGCCATCCCCAAGCCAAAGACCGAGGAAATAGGGGTTGACAGGGACTTTTTGATCGGGCAACTCGAAGCCAGGACTTCTGAATACTCGATAGCGGCTCCTTTCCTCAGCACTAAGGGCGGCGAATTCAGCAGCAGTCATTTCCACAGTATCGTACCGTTCCGCTGCCGAAACTTCGGGGAGGTCTTCATCCTCATTGACCTCAGGGTTCGAGCTTGGCATCGATTCGAAAGCGTATGATCGAGCGTATTTCTTGTAGTTCCGGGAGCAGTACACACGAATCTGCAGATTTGACCCGTTCTTGCCCCAAAGTAGGAACATATTCGGCAAGTTGATGTCGATTAGGAGCTCACCACCCTTGCCATTAGCAGATTTGGCAAGGAATCGGTTGCGAAGCGTTGCCAAAGTAACTTCACCTTGCGAATACAGTTCACGGCTCTTTGCAACGGCAGCAGAGAAAGCGTCATCCTTGGTGTCGAAGAAAACAGGAGGGTGGTCGGGATGGCCCTTGATATTGTTTCTCTGAGGATTGCCCCAAGCGTAAGTGAAGTAGACCCCTTTGACTAGCGGATTGGTGACCGAATAGTTCTCTTCGTGGGTCGTAAGGCCAACCGTACCATTGAGTACATTGCGAACTGCCACTGCACCAGTCTTACTCCGTTCGGCATGCAGGACCCAAGCGATAGCGCTCTTCAAAGCAGACAGGAAATCCCCCCGGTCCTTGACCAGGTTATTGGGCCGGTTGGAAGCCGCTGGACTAGAACTTGGAACTGGCAGGTCACCAAAGCGACTTTCAAATCGCTGGACATGGCCTTGTATAGAGGGTCCTGAATAAGCATTTCTAGCACGTTTCTCCCGATGAAGAACCAGGATATGGTTTGGTGTAACTACTAGGTCCTCTTTACTTCCACCAATCTTAATGCGATAGAGACGGTCTTTGCCATTCACTATGTTGAATGCTCGACGAGTACCACCATCAGGACCAAGGAGGAGATCTCCCTCGCGAACATCCTGGACCTCGACTTCACTGCCATCATATCGCAACAGTCGTGTCCCTTTGGCAAGACAAGCTCTCTCCCAGAAGAGACCTTCCCATGATGGGAAAGCCGTGGCCTTGAACAGAGTGTGTTCCAAGATTGTCTCTACACCACCCAGAGCTTGGATGACGTCAGTACGGTAGGCGTTCAAGTTCCACAATTTACCATCGTGACGCTGACTTGTCCACCAGAACGGATTACTCTTCATAAGCTGGTATTGTTTAAATTCGGCTCGAAGACGGAATCCCTTGTCGAAGCTGAGAGTACTGCGATCCTTCTGGAACAAGGTGTTGATACGAGGCAGACCACGGTCCCAGCTGTCCTCCAGGTCCTCAAGCGTCAAACGACGGTTCTGCTGTTGAGCCTCCTGTCGCTTCTGAGAGTATTCCATCCACACTCTCTGAGAATCGATGAACTCGGCTTCCCAGGGAATAATGTACCGGAAGATGTTGGGGATCAATGTTTCCTCGTCATGTGACATACCGGCTCGGAAGTGAGTAATACCGGTATCGGTTTGCTTTGACCACCTCTTGTCACTAGCAGGGATAAGGATGTGGGATCCCGAGATCATACCCAGACCTCCCAGTTCCTTTGGAGTGTAGAAAACAGCCGGAGGGAAACGGGAAGGCATCTTAGAGTTAAGCCCAATCTTGACACGGGTCTGAATCTTGGTCTCGCACTTGACGATCGTGTCCAGAAGGTTGACAGTCGATACGGCGGCTTCACGATAGTAGGTGAAGAGAGCAATCAAAGCCGTGTTCCACTTGTTAGCGATCTTGGTGAAGGTCGTGGAACCAGAAGACATGAGGATTTGACGAATTCTGTTATTGAATTTTTGGATGTCCTCCTCTGTAACCTGAAGGAAGGCGTGAGCCGTGCGTTCCTTCGTCGTGTTATCGACCAAAGACCAAACGCTATCTTTCACTGAGAACTCTTCATTCTGGTTGCGAATCTTCGGAAGAATGCGAACCTCGAACCCAGACATGGAGAACAGAAGGTTAGGGTTGTCCTTGCTGTAAACGCTGGAAAAGGTATCATCCCATTCGATCGTCGTGATCGACCTCGGCAGACGGTTCTTCAAATCCCAGAATACAGCGCGGCCCAGGTTGACGTCGTGCCGCATCAAACGCATTCGGCAATCACGCGGCCAGCATTTCTTGTTCTTGTAACCGATAACGTTTTCGAAGTTGGGATCCGGATTTTCCGTCAAGAAGCGCTGGATAAGATCTCTAGACTCGTCTGCAGAGAATCTGAAAAACACCCAAATCCTGTCGACATAGCGGGTATACAGACGAATAGGATGTCTGGTCTCGGTAGCACGATCCCTAAACTGCAGGAAGTCGTTAGGGCTCTGAGGTGGACCCGCCATTTCACTAGCTCTCTGAAGTCCAAGAAGCAGCAGATCAATCATCAAACCATAGAACTGGAAGACGAAGCCAGAGAATTGTAGACCCCGGATCAACCCGTAGCTGTTCGTGTGGTTCATATCCTTGTAGCTGAGCTGCACGTTATTCTTGGAAGTGATGTAGTCAGCCAAGTTGTGGTCCATGATCAAGCGCAGCAGTCGGTTCAATAGAGTAAGATCGATCTTCTCGTAAACCTTCGACAATTCCGTCTCGATCATTACATTTGTCTCGCCATCGGCAGTTTCCCAAACATTGGACAAGTTGTTGATGCCTTGTGCCCACTTGTACGTCAACAGCGGAGGAACTTCGGAATCGGAAGGCTTGATCCACGAGGGGAAGAGGTGGCGCTGTTCTGCCTGATACCAGAGATACTGATCCAAATAAGCGTCGGTGATCTTCTCAATAGGCTCCACATCGTACACTGGATTGATATGACTGTAATTATCGTTCATATCGATACCGACTTCCTTGAACGCTCGCTGGGTCAAAAGGAATCGCTTAATCCTGGCCAGTGTCGTTCCAGGAGAATCGTAGGCCTGTTCAATAAGAGCAAGCTCTTCACGCTGGCTCTGATTGAGTCTACCTTTGACGGAGTATGCTTCACGTAAACGTTCAAGAGCAAGGATCAAAATCTTGGTATCATGCTTGTAGGAGACGCTAGGGAATGGAATTGGAGAGAACTTGCGGGACTCAAGCCAATGTACCATGGTGGTGTAGATAGCAACAGCCTCTTCAGACGACACGTAAGGACCATCCTTCAGATAGTTGTGCTGCCTCTCCTGTTCCGCCTTGAGCCACAACCGAGTGAGTCGGCCAAGATTCTTCTTGGCAACGGTCTTATCCACAGTAGCACCGCGGCGAATTCGTTCACGGTTGTAATGCGCGACAGATATCCACCAATCGGCCTTGCTCTTGACATACCGAAGGATGATGTTTTCGATAGGAGCAGGCAACCCAGGAACCTTCCAAGGAATGTTACTCTTCCAGCATCTCCAAGCTTCCGAGAGATGTTGAAGGACTGTATTGACCTTGTTCTGCTTGATACCCTCAGGCATCATGTCCATCAAGTCAGCCATGACGGAAGCACGAAGTTCGAGGTCAAAATGAGACTCCACACGCTGCTTGGTGACAGTCTTCGCAACTCCCTTGCTGTGACGACCCTCGAACTGACGAGACAGCAAGTTCCCAAGCCATCTCTCAAGAAGAGGGATGATACCACGCATGAAGAACAGCCAAACGCGCCAGGCCGGTGCCCAGAAACCACATCCAGGACCTTTGCCCACCGGGCCAGAGTTGAATCGGTAGTAGATCAAGTGCTTAAGATCCTTACAAGAACGAATCTGATGCATCAGCTTGTACTTGTAACGGTACATACCGGTCAGCTGTCCCACATGGTTGAAAGCATAGAGAATACCATCAGCCAGTTGGAAGGCATCGATGTTGCCCAGACGATACTGGACTTGGGCATCAACAATCAGCTTGGTAAGACGCAGAATTTCTCTCATCAAGTGAAAAGCATTTCCGAAACGAGACTTCTTCCGCTCTTTTGTGGTTAGGGTCTTAACCGGCTTCAAGTTGAAGTTGTAGTCCAAATGCAAGTACGTCAAGTTCTTGCGATGAATCAACAAGTTAAGCATGTTGAAACCCTGGCGGCAAACTTGCAAACCAGCCTCAACCCAGTCGATAGTTGTCTGCTGGAAGAACTTGGTGGATTTCAGGGTCCTCAGTAAGTTCTGCTTATTCTGAGCCTTGGGCTTCTTCTTGTGAAGCTCGTTGAGCACAAACGTTTTCAGAAGCTTCTGGTAAGACACGCGAACTTTGACGGGTTGGCCTTGTGGGCAATGCTCGAGGTACCATTGCTTCACCAATGGCACATCCTGTGCACGAACCATCTTTCCAGAGCGTTTGTTGAATGGGTGAGGAGCCCACCAGAGCGCAATAGCGGATGCGGTCTCGGGGGTGTAAAGCTCCTCGTCTGCGAAGAAAGGCTCGACTTCTCCAGGAAGCTCGAACTCGTCTTCATTATTTCCTGGTCCGAAGATTTCATCTTCGTGGCTGACTGTGATGTTCTTAGGCGCGACGGAGCGAGAGGAGATTGGATTAATTACAGGGTCGAAGTAAAAAGCAGGAAGGTTGGGGTCGTCGGTCCGAACATAAACAACTTGCGGATGGGAGTACCAAGAAACTTTCACGCTTCTAGGGAGAGTATTGTACAAGAAAGGATATGCGACTCGGTATTCCGTGCGAATGGGGGCACGGAAAATGATACGGTCGATGGCGTTAAATTCACTGAAGTCTTCGTCGTTGGGATCAATGTCCTTGTATAACGGTTCAAAGCGCGGACCACCAGGGATGGCAACGTTCAGAGCCTTTGCTGTAAAAAAGCTATTCAGATCGAACATGTGGAAGTAGTTCTCGTCTACCACGTCACTGAGGAGTTGATGACTTAGACGATACAGAGTCGCCATCTGCGGTAGAGATAGGTTCCACTTCTTATAGCTAGGACCATTAACGTGGGGGGTATCAAGGAGAGGTCGATGATCGTAAAACCACTCGTAGACGGGGGAATCCTCATTCTCGTCGAGTTCCATCTGGATGGGCTCTAACGGTTCAACGTCTTCGATATTCTCCGACCAGGACAGTGGTGGCTCTTCGTCATCGAAGGGAGGAAAGCGCATTCTCTTGAAGTGTCTACGATCACTCTTTTCTCTGCGCATACACACCCACATTGTCGCCCACTGTGCGTGGAAGACGGGTTCGATAACTCTAGGAGTCTCATTTACCAGTGTGAGACAGCCGTTAACATGGTATAGAACCTTTACTTCCCTTGAAGACTCCCAGGGCATAGGCATGTTTTCCAACAGCTTCAAAACTGCATGGGGCATGAACTTCAGCGCGCCGAGATAGCTACGCTTTTCGTTGCTGAACTTCTTCTGCGATACATCGCCGATATCTCGCACAATCTTTCGTAGGTGCTCTGGGGGCATGTCCGCCTTCTGTGTTTCAACAAATCCACCCTTTCTCTTCTCTCCGAATCGGTTTCGTTGTGTCCGGAGCCATTCGTTCTTCTTCTGAGCAAATTTTGCGACGGTCGGATCAGCTGGCGGCTGATATCCCGGCGGCGGAGGAGCCAGAGGCATCGACGGCGGAGCCGATGCACCCCATCCTGGAGGTGGAGGAGGGGGTAATGATGCCATAATGCCAATGGCGGAATGGAGATAGCTCTGCTCTTTCTGATTGAGGTTAATGCTCGGGCAAGTCGCGTCACAGAGTCACGTTGAAAAAAGTCATTAACAACCGCGAATCATCAACAAAAGCGGTCGGGGGTGGTAATAAACTGGGCAATATCGCGCAGCGGAGTGAAATCGTAACCCCAAAGATGAAAACAACTCCTGCACGATCCCCTTCTCACGACGGGTGATGAAAGGCGCTCTTCGTGCTCCTTTCCTGATGAGCAAGCTTGAAAAGAGGTGGCGGCTCTGCTCGGACCGGTACTAGTCCCGATTGGGGTTAGTACCAGCTCGCCAAATTGGCGCTAGCGTGACTCCAGGGCTCCGAGTGAAACCCACACAAATCCAGGTGACTTGCAAGAATTCTGAGAGCTTAACGACGACAACCGACGACGCCGCCGCCAACTTCTTGATCACCGATACAGAGGTTCAAGACAATCAAAATGGCGAACCAGAGACTCCAATACGTGAGTTGTTTCCGTGCAGCAAATTTCTAGAGGACCATGAGAGGCTAATTTACCGTTTTTTTCTCAAACAGCGCCGCCGGAACCCGTACGTTGAAAATTTCCCTTCCCACCTTGTCCCCTCATTACGCTCGATACGATAGCATTCAGCCACGATATCTAGCACAGCGAGGAGTTTTTCTATCATCTGGTTTCACAAACAGGATATTGATGGAATTTCGTCTATAGGTACAACACGCGGTCCAACAAGGTCCGCATCATCAAGACCCCCGGCGGTGAGCTCCGGTACCTCCACATCAAGAAGAAGGGCACTGCTCCCAAGTGCGGTGACTGTGGCATCAAGCTCCCCGGTGTGAGTACTCCCGATTAGTTCCTGGTTGTTGAGCGAATGACTATGTGCGAATTCTGCGATCGATCCAAGTTGGTGGAAGAATGCGCCTCTGAGGGCGATACGAAGAGGAAGATTGGATTGAGAAGCACAAATTCTCTGCATCGGGCATCGCAATGGCCAAGCGAGAAACGAAAACAGCGACTGATCTCTTGCCCATAGGTCCCCGCTCTTCGCCCCCGCGAGTACTCTCAGATCTCTCGCCCCAAGAAGACCGTCACCCGTGCCTACGGCGGTTCCCGCTGCGCTGGCTGCGTCAAGGACCGCATTGTCCGTGCTTTCCTGATCGAGGAGCAGAAGATCGTCAAGAAGGTTCTCAAGGAGTCTCAGGAGAAGGCCGCTGGCAAGCGCTAAATGGGTGCATAATATGCTCAGTATTTTTTCTTTAGTGGGAGCGAATATGGAAAAATAAAATTGGCTGGGTGCGGTTCTCTTAGATTAAAGTGAACACGACGGCTTTACGAAATGCCGTGTTTATGAATTTTATTCAAGACTCAGTTCTCCAAATATCTTACGATTTTGGTTGCGACGCAATAGGTGTTCATTTTTACGGACAGTGTGGACAGGCCCTAGCGTGCAATCTCCCGTAGTCTGGGAATGGCCATCAAAACCATTTCAAACCATACGGCTTCAGTTCTGCAATGTAGTTCCTTGAGCAACTTCAGTCGTCTGCCAGGTAAATGAAAACGCCAAGATGAAGTCCGGGTAACATTAGGAACCAAATTCTCAGGAGAAGCCCCATGCAGCGAGAATGGATGACACCATATATCGAAAAATGGTCCGGACAATCAATTATCACTAGATCCACAGCCTGGTACCAAACTTATCACAATCATAGATCCACCCTAGCAGGTGAGAAGACACTCAGCCCGGCACGTGTGGCTTTCTCACACCGGGTGGAATTTTTATCTCGACCGAATCCGTGAAACAACCCAGGGGACATTTCCCTATAACGATCAGCGCCAAGTCTTGGGAGGATCATCAGAGAAAAAGCAAGGGTAGGATGACACGAAGGGGTAGGTCAGAGCCAGAACCAGCATGCAGGAAATTATTCGAAACCAAACTAAGCCGATACAATAGGTGGCATGGGCGAAACGAAATAGGGAACACTTGAGACCGGGGGTTGTCGCCTAAGTATCCAAGCTCTTGCCCGTAGATACGCAACATGCTATTGAGCAGCAAGTGGGACACCTCTGCTAACTACATTCCGAGAAGTCCCCGTGTACCTGGGTATCCACCTTGAGATGGGGCTGAGGTGATTGTGAACGATGCGTTGAACGGGCTGTGGATGGCATCATGACAATAGTACGACTGTGATCATCATACATCGCAGGCGAACGTGCGGGCTCCCGGGTATGTCTGTCGGCAAGCATGCAGTCAATAGTTAAACTCGATGTAGTGTGGATGGTGGAACCGTTGGGAAGGCTGATCGCAGAAATGACAGAGATCTGTGCTCTGCACAAGCGGTTTTGTTTGCAGGTCTACTTTCTTTTTCCATATATTCTTCGAATATGCGTTGTCCCAAATGAGCATCCATCATTTCTGCCTAAATGAGGGGGTGATATTTCGTCGAATCGGTAGATGAAGGGCATAAACAAAGCATCCTCGCCATGGCCTGTGCACACAGATGGCGTGCAGCTAAAGTCCGACAAGTGAGGATGTCTCCGTCCAGTGAGTGGTAGATTAATCGCACCGCAGTAGATCTCCCTCTGACTTCGGACCCTGACAGAGCTTAAGCTGGATTCAGAGCCAAACTATCTGCTCATGCGCATATCTGTTAGTCCGATAATCTCCGGAAAGGGCTAGACAAGTGAAAAGCAAAGATGGAACACCAAGACAGGCAGGAGAATATCATGGGATGACCGCTAATAATGCAGAACATCGCATGTAACCAATAAACCTTCCGTACCATAGATTGATAGTGCACGGTTCGGCAGTCCTATGTAGCGGTGAGGATTTGTTGGTTCTGGTTTCTTTTTCATTCCCTAATTTTTGTTTAGGTTCCTTGCATCAATGGTTCCATTACTCACCTTCCTTTCAGAGGAGATCATCCAGTCGACCTGAATCATGAAAAGGAGGAGGGGAGAAGGTAGCCAGACCACTCGGAACGAAAGGCTGGGGTGTCACCATCTCTCCCGTCGGCGTGATAATACCCAACCCTAACTGTACTGGGAAGTATGTCTGCATGCTGCGTATGCTTCATGGGTTTAACTGTAGGGGGGGGATGGTACTGCCAGACATAACGTAGAGATCGTCAATTACACTACGACAGCCTTCTTGTTCTTTCTTTATTTCTTTCCTT